ACTGTAAGACCCTCAGAATGAGGAGTCTCCCAGTTTTGGTAGGTACCCCCAAGAACTCAGTGTCCAGTCCAGTTACTGCAACACGAAAGAGGCTTTAATGAACAGGAAACGTTTGCGCAAACGGGCTCCCTCAGCACGAAGGCTAGGGAGAAGCCGCATCCCCCAGGCACAGGTGTTTTTAAAGGCAAAACCCACAAGCTTAGGGAGGGGGTGGGACCCTCCGTCCATTGAGTACGTGACCTTTTGAGGCCGGATGGTCTCGCTGTTAAGGTCAGCAGACCTTAGGGCCTCAGGTTGTGCCTAATTAATCTTGTCTGGGCAAACTGAAGGTGCAACTATCTCTTTGCTTCTTAAGGACCCTATTCACCACCTGCTGACTCACGGAAAGGAGGGGCAGTGTGAATTCTTGGTATCCTGCTATCTCAGGGCCGGTGGATAGCAAATTCCGCCCAGCATTCCAATTATTTGGGCTTCATTTCATTTCTTTGCTAGTTTAAGTCTAAGTCTTACAGTACCATGTAAAACTTTCAAAGGTTTTTTTTTTTTTTTTTAAAGTTTCAAGACAGAGTTTCTCTGTGTAGCCCTGGCAGTCTTGGAATTCACTCTGTAGGCCAGCCTGGCCTTGAACTCGCAGAGACGAACCCCTGTGCACAGGACACATGCTTGTGTGATTCTGTGACTTTGTCGCATGTAGATGCACGCAATGAGATACAGAACCACTCTGCCACCACAAAGGACTTCTTGCTGCTGTTTCCTATCCCTAACCCCACAGTTGTACTAATTTGTTTGCAGTTTCTCCAATGCTATCATTTTGGTAGTGTTAGATAAATCGAATCAAGTGTAACCCTTGCAATTGACTTCGATAGTCAGTGGAGGCTAGTCTCCTGTCTCCACCCAGGTTCGTTTTGCTCTCTCCAAGAACGAAGCTGGCAGACAACAAAGTACAAGCAGGGTAGCTTACTAACTTGGCTGGGGTTACTGACCTTAAAAAGGATAAACAACTGTAGACAGGAAAAGCTGGTCCACTCGAGGGATTGACAACCGAAATGGAACAGATCTGAACTCTGGGTAAAAAGGGGAGGGGGTGTTAGCTCAACTGCTAGAGAGTTACAGGGTTCAAGTTTCCAGAGTGGCCTGTTGGTAGCTGAAGCGTTGTCTCGGGGGCTGAGGTAAAAATAAGTTTCCTTGCTGCAGCAAGACAGGGCTTCTCTGTGTAGCCCTGGCTGCCCTGGAACTCACTCTGTAGACCAGGCTGGTCTCGAACTCACAGAGCTCCGCCTGCCTCTGCCTCCCAAGTGCTGGTGTTAAAGGCGTGTGCCGCCACCTCTTCCTGGAAAACTTTTGCTTTTATAATGAGGAACAAGCCTTTTGTCAGCTATGATTTGCAGGGTTTTTGTTTTTCATTTTGATGGTATCCAATTACTGTCTTACATTATGAACTGATTTTGATGTAACAACCAAAACTACTTTGTGCAGCCCCAGATCTGGCAGTTTCTACAATTTTTTTCTAGTTTTCACTTTTTATCTTTACCTTTAAATCTATGATCCACCCTGTATTAACTGTTGTATAAACTGTGGAATGTAGTTGTTAGTAAAGCCAATTGTGATTTAGTATAGACTTACGTCTGGGTGGATTTTTTTTGTTGTTGTTTTTAAATAAAATTTACTTAAAACAATCTTTTTACATACCTATCCCAGTTCCCTCTCCCTCCTGTCCTCCATGCCTCCCACCAACCTGTGTTTTGTTTTTTGAATTTTAAGCTGATCATGGTGGCTCACACCTTTAATTCCAGCACTCCAGAGGCAGAGAGAAAGCAGACCTCTGAATTTGAGGTCAGTCTTGTCTAAATAGTAACAGGACGTTTAGGGTGACAGCGAGACTGTCTAAAACAAGAAAAAACTTTTGGCTTTAACTATGGGTCTGCATGTTCGAATCTGGCACCTGCAGAGGCCAGAAGAGGGCATTATACCCCTGGACTGGAGTGAGACACCATGTGGGTGCTGGCAATCAAATCTGGGTCCTTTGTAAAAGCAGCCTATACTCCAAGACAGATAATGTATCATGTTGCCTTTTTACGTGTGTGTGTGTGTGTGTGTGTGTGTGAGAGAGAGAGAGAGAGAGAGAGAGAGAGAGACGGTATGCACCATGGCACAGTGTAGAGGTCAGAGGACACAGTTCTGTTTCCACTGTGTGAGCCCTGAGGATCAAGCATTGTAGATGGAAGTTTCTGTCCCCCCTGGTCCCGACACCCTTCAGCCCCAAATAAACACACTGAGGCTTATGTTAATTATAAACTGGACAATAGCTCAGGCTTCTTACTGGATAGCTCTCTCTTAACCCATAACTATCTTTGTATTTCTACACGGCCTGATCTTACCAGAGAACAACCGGCGCATCCTATCTCCCCCACGCTACATGGCATCTCCTCCTCCCCAGAATTCTCCTGGTAGCCCCGCCTGTGCTTCCTGCCCGGCTACTGGCCAATCAGTGTTTATTCATCAACCAGTAAGAGAAACATACATGCAGAAGGGCATTCCCCCATCAAAGCACAGTCCTATCTTGTCCCTTGCAGGACCTATCTTGTTGGACCAATTCCAGTACTGGCAGAGGGAGCCAGGTATGGAGTGTTACTTTTGGGCAGACTTTTCCCACTTTCTACTTGTTTTGCAAAGTTGTTACAGCTGTTCTCTAGGTCCTTTATTTTCTTATCTATTTCAGAAAAGGCCAAAAATTTTCCTGAACTTTTGGTTGTTAAACAGATGGATTTGAGAACAGCAGCATTTTATGGAGCTAATTATTCGATTCCAAGAACTTAACCTTTATTTGGGTTTGGTGTGTGTGTGTGCGCATGCACACACTATACTTGTCTATACATCAGTTCTTACAGTTTCCAGCATGTGAGTCTTAAATTTTCCTTTAAGATTAGAATTGTATGATGTCTGTGTGACCGTCTGCAGGGCGTCCTTTGAAGCTAGAGTTAGTTTTGAACCACTTGACTTTGAACTGTTGAGTCCTTCAGAAGAGGGCTACTCTCAATTGCTGAGCCATCTCTACAGCCCCAAAATTTTGACTGGTTATCAATAATAGTTTTTAAATTATATTTCCATGTGTCCAAGTTGGGTGTTGGCTCAGTTGAGTACCCAGCATGATGGGAGTACTGCACAGACCGCGCATGGTGGCGCATGCCTACAGTCTTCGCTTAGGAGGAAGAAGGACCAAAGAGCAAAACTCTATCTAGCAACTTGGAGGCTGGCCTAGGATATATGCAATGCCTTCTTTTCTCAAGTATTTATTGCTAGCTTCTAGAAAGACAATTTTTTCTTCTCTTCTCTTCCTTCCTCATTTTTGGTTATGTACCCTAATTTCACCCAGTCTGCCCCTAATTGCTGGGCTCAAAGGAACCATTGTCTCATTCTCCAGAGTGGCTGGAGCTATGGGCACAAACCACCACTCAGCTTACACAGTTACGCTGCCCTTACCCTGTGGCCTGCTGAATTCCTGCCAGGAAGTTTTCAGATGGGTTTTCTTCACTGGTTTCATTAGCTGGGCTACGAAATCCAGGATGTTCCCTTCTTGTCCACTTCCCTGGGACTTCCTGCTGCTTGAAGCATCCATGCTTTGTTAACTGGGATTTAGCTGTTGAGCTTTTTGCTGACATTTCTTACCAAGCTGAAGAAGTTTCTCTTTCAAAAAGAGAAGTTATCCTCTCTTGTTTTTGTGAGAGGTGAATCGTTCTGATAACTTGTGATTTTTCTTTGGGTTTTCTTAAGTCCTGAAGAGCTTAGGAACTTCTACTTCCAATATTCATGGCTCTAGGGCCATGGGCATGCAGCTGCTGTCCATACATAATCTACCATATCCCTGTGTGCTGCAGGGTGTGCAGTCAGAGCCAAAGCAAATACAGGACACGTAACCCTAAGAATCAACCCTAAGAATCAACAGCACAGGGCCCAGATAAGCCATGCTATCCAGATTCCTGTCACCTTCAATGGGAACTGACTAAACTTAAGTACCAGAGCCCTTACCCTGTGTACACTGTAATGCTTCCAATGGACTTCTGAAGACTGAAGGAACCTCAGCTGATCCTGTCTACCAATTTGGAAATGATCCAGAGAAGAACCTGCGTAGAAGCCCCTCACAAGGCCCCTGGGGGGGGGGGCAACCAACTGTCCCCGTCGTCCTGCAGAGCACGTTGTCTGCAGGCTCACTTCCTGCATCTAGTGACACCAGGGAGAGAAAGGAAGCCTCTTTGGGGGCAGAGGACAAAGGCCAGGAGTACAGAAGCTTCTCTGGGGCTGTGGCCTGGCCAATCAGGCTGTTGAAGAGCTGACAGACGGAAGAACTGAATTGCTCAGGTTTGACCTACAAACCAGCACTGTCCCATGACTAAAAGGAGTCCCTGAGCAAGAACAGTTTTCCTCTGGAGAAATGCCAGAATTGGAAGGCAGGACCAAATCCCAACCCTGTCCTAACAACTTACCTCAGGCTTTTGTATGAGGCCCAGGGCTGGGCACACACTAGGGTAGCCGACATACTCTACCACTAAGCCACATGCCCAGAACCTCAGAATTCCAACGTCAGGACCTGTGTGATGACATTCACCTATACTCTCAGCACCTGGGAAGGCTGAGGAAGAACTGTCACAAATCTGAGCGCACCCTGGGTCAGACAGCAAGACTGTCTCAAGAATGCCCAGCACTTGGGAAATGGAAGGAGGATTCGGAGTTCATTCAGCCAACCTGAGGCCAGCATGGGCTACATGAACTCATTTCAGAAGGCCACAAAGAAGTTACAAATCAGGACCACTAAAGGATGTCTCTCCTCATACTAATTAGATGGACTCTTGTAACTTGCCAATAGAATCCAACTTCACAGGAGGCAGTAGTTTCTCAGTGCTGACAAATTTCATGGCTGCAGGGCAGGATACGTCCTGTGACCCACCCCAGCAGCACACCCCCAGGCACTCCCCACGGAAGAACACGCGAGCACCAGAAGCAGCTTGGGCAGCACTTGTATACATCATACATTTATTAGTGAATATCCCTCTGAAATCAGCAACAATATTAAAAAAAATAATGATTGCACTACTTGGTCAAGCAGAACTAGCAACTTTCATTTTAAAAAAAGTACAAATCTGTTAAAAATTTCAATCCGTATACACATATATAATACAACATACTAGTTATGTTAAATGCTACAAACCAATGTGAGTCCAACGGGATGGAAAAAACCACACATTTAAGCTTTAAGAACCATTTTCTCTATATATTAGCATTTTCTCAAATACATACATGGGAAAAATGAGGTAACTGTAAGATGTGCAAGGAACAGGGCCCCCAAATCACATGTGTTTATATATATGTGTGTGTGTGTAATTATATATATATATGTGTGTATATATATATAAAAACCATTCTAACAACACAGGCGCTGGGCCCAGCAGTGCTGGGGGAAGGTGCCCACTGTCATGCCTAGGCCAGAAGTTGGTAAATAAAGAGTAAACAATGCCAAGCCCCCACCACAGGAAATCATTGGTAACATGGCATCTACAGCAAGGTCGGCAAATCACAAACACCCTAAGTAATTGTTTGATAAATCTTTCTTAAATGATTAAAAAAAAAAAAAAAAAGTGTATCCCCCCATAGCTGCTCGTTGGAATCATCACTGCAGCCGACACAATCCATGAGCCAATTTCAATTTCGTTGCCCCAGGAACCACAAGGGCTTGAAAACCTTTTGTTGGGGTGAGGAAGGGACCAGGTTGGATAAGGTGGTTCTCTGTGTAAAACACGTGGATTTTCAACACTGCTATAAATATAGAAACATCACCTGGAGTTATATACAGTAAGACTTTGGGTTCTTGTGGGGTGGGGCCAGGCTGATGGGCCCCCTGGCAGGCTGGGGTGGGAGCCAGGGAGCCAGGGCTGCTGCACAGGAACGAGGGTGGTTGGAGCATCCCTGAGGCAGCAGGCGCCAATGGCTGCCTGCTAGGATGTGCCGGCCCCACACGCGGTTCGTTCACTTGGGGCAGCAACCCCAGATGGGAAAGGAGAGGAAAGGACCTGAAAGGAGGGCGGGAACTCAGCCTCCTCCAGACCTTGGAGGGCAGGGATCAGGCTGGGAGGCCCCCAGGTGGAGGTTCACAACCTCCCTGATCTCTGTCCTCAGGGGATTCCTAGGAGGAGACTCAACCAGGCAGGTGGGAGACAGGCCCTGGCTGGAGGAATGCCCTGAAAAGCAAACGGTCCCGGTAGGCTCTAGGGACATGTGCAGTACAGTGCATGGCAGTTATCAGCTGAGCACAGACCCCCACTCTGCCCCGTGACTCCCAGCCGCCCAGTGCAGTCCCAGCCGCACACTCAAATGGAGGCCCGGTGCGGCACAACCTGACCCTTCTCTGCCCCCTGGGCATTTGGTCCTGGTTGGTCCCTGTGCCCTCACCCCACTCCTATTAAACCAAAAAAGAAGGGGGGAACAAAACAAACCCCCCACAACAAAACAAAACACAGAAAAAAAAACAAAACCAAAAAAACAAACAAACAAACCAAAAAACCCCGCCAAACACCTAAATATCCACACCCCCTACACGCAATTTTGGGCCAAATGAATAAACAAAAACTGCTGTTCCTCACATTCATGCAAATCGACAGAGGGGGAGATCGAGCTCGGGTCTGACGTTGTCACTGGTGGAGGGGCAGCCACCAGGGGCACAAAGGCATGCCCAGATCGAGGCTTGGCTCCTACAGAACGTGTGTCCGGCTTGGAGCCCCCATCCCATTTGCTCAAAGAGCCCGGCTGGGATACCCTCCAGCCTGGGGGTGAGGGTCCTGGGGAGTCAGACCCACACCGCACAGCAGTGGAGGCAGAGCGACTGCCTAAGTCTGTCTGGAGCCAGAGGCCTCAGGGCTGGGACTTAGGCTCTCTGCCCACAGACCTGGCAGTGCCACCTATGCAGGGGACACTTCCCTCAGTACAGGGGACCAGCCGACCCAGGGTGGCTACTCCTTTGCCCACTCTTGGGGGTGGGGAATCACACCAGCCACCACACTTGGGGAATGGACTCCCGCCTCCCAGAGCCAGCAGGAAGAAGGACCCATGGACAAGAGACAGACTGAGTTGGGGACACTCAGGCAGCTCCATGGCGGGCGGGCGGGCGGGCGGGCAGGCAGTTTGGGGAAGGAGTCTTTGGAGCTTGGCAAACGCAGGGGCTTATTGCAGGGGCTTCTCCAGGGCTGACCCTGGCACCAGCTCTGGAGTTGCAGGTGGGAATGTTGAGACAGGCCTGGGCCCCTCCATTACAGTTCTCCCTGGGCCACTCCCTGCCTCCCCCCACCCGTTTCCGGAGCTTCGGGCAGGGCTCTTGTGGGTGGCTGCAGAGTCTCACTCAGCCTCCCTGGGCACCTCGGAGGCATCGGCCCGGCAAATGGGACAGGTCCGGTTGGCCTGGGAGGGACAGCCACACATCAGACCTCACTCTTACCTGACCCCCACACCCCCTGCACGCCTGCCCACTGGGGCTTCCTAGGAGGTGGCTGAGGCCACTCAGGCCACCTTACCTTCAACCACTTGTCAACACACTTGGCATGGAACTCGTGGTTGCAGGGGAGGACTCGGAGCAGCTGCCGCACCTCGAAGTCACTGAAGCAGACCACACACCTGAGGAGGGACACAGTGTCACCCCCACAGCGAAGGCTCAGTCCCCTCCCAGGGGTCTTGGTGCAACACTCACAGAGTCTGCTCAGACTGATGGCTGTCAGGGTTAAAGCGGTACGACGGCAGCTGCTCTATGTCTGCTTTGCTGAGGCCTCGGGGCTTGGCATCTCCCAGCCGCTCAGCCAGGTTCAGGAGGGCCTAGAGCCAGGCAAGGGAGGTCAGCAGCACCTAGAGACGGAGGCCTCCCGACTCCACCTCCCATCACAGGCATCACAGACCTCATAGTTCTCCATCTCCACGTCATCCACATCCAGACCCAGGCTGATGGTGGGGCCCATGGTGGTGGGAGACATTGGCAGCATTGAACTGGAGGGGAGCCCCAGAGTGCAGGTCAGCAGAGGGAGACCGGACCAAGCGCCCCACCACCCTACTGCCCGCATGCAGACAAAGCACGGGGCTCTGCAGTTTCAAGCCAGGCCCTTGGTGCTTGTTCAAGCACGCCAGGAGGCAGGCAGGGGCAACTGCTGTGTGGTGTGGGCTACCAGAGCCGGGGAGGCCCCTAGAAAACAAGGCCTGATGGCTATGAGGACATTATGCTAGCACTTACAGGAAGTAGGGTAGGAAGCTTGGGTAATAAGATGGCGGCGGCGGGGGTGGAGGTGGGGGTGGCGGGGGTGGCAGCGGCTGTTGTAGACGGTATCTCTGTGTGCTCAGTCTTCGTGGCATCATGTGGGAATATGGCTGCAAACACAAACAGGCGCAGGTCACTGGCTGGCCTGTCTGCTCACCGCCTGAAGCCTGGCGGGCCTGTGTGTGTGTGTGTGTGTGTGTGTGTGTGTGTGTGTGTGTGTGTGTGTGTGTGTGTGGCACTTACCACGCCGAAGGACAGCTCCTGGTGCAGCGGGTCATGGGGTAGGTAGTGAAGGGGGATCGAGGGTGACAAGGCCGGGCCAGTAGCAGAGGTGGAGTAGGTGAAGCTGCCTAAGGGGTGCTGGTCCCCTCGAAGGTCCATGTCATTATCCAGCCGCTGCAGGGGCTGCAAGGGGGGAGGGGTCAGCAGCTGCTCACCAGAGTCCTGGCCTTTCCCACTCTGCGCTCCCCCTCAGCTCCCCAACCTCACCATGCGTGGGTGCTGGGTCTGCAGTGACACGAACTGCCCGAGCGGCGCCATGTGGGTAGGTTGGGGTGGTGGGGCTGGCGGCGGAGGGTGAAGGATGTAGTGGTCACTGGAGATGAGGTGGGGGTAGGTGTGATAGGGCACAGGGAGCTGCTGCATGGTACACGCCTGGATCAGCTGCAGAGAGAGGGCAAAGAAGCTGGGCCCATGTTCAATGAAGACCAGGGAACAGCGCCCAGCTAAAGGTTCTCACACACAAACCCGGGAGCTGCAGCAGCTCTGCATGCCCACCCTTGCCCCGGGCTGCCAAGGCAGGGTGCCACACCAGCCTCCACTGCAGTGCCTGTCACACAGCAGTCCCTGACCTCTGAACTGCATCATACCTCTGCGGGAGCACGCGCACAAGTGCACGCTGCTGAGAAGGGTCATGGCCAGAAGGCCGAGTTAGCTCAGCTGCTAAGGTGCTCACGCCTGCTGGGACGGGCAGGGTGGCCATGTCCGTCATGCAGGGGCAGGGGCGGGGGAAGGAAACACCCACTCACTGGAGGTGGGAGGCAGCAGAGGGGGTAGTGCTGCCCACTGAACATCACGGAGCATGCTGGGAGCTGCTGGGCACTGCAGCCAGGGATGTGTTGGCTTGTAGGCAAGGGGAAGCCTTGGGTGGTCACTGTGGTGACTGTGTAGGACAGAGGGACAGGTCCCTGGTGCACCTGTGGAGAGAGCACCAGGGAATTGTAGAAGGAAGCCTGGTCATCAGGGCAGCCTTCCAAGAAAGAGTCCTGTGGGAGGCTGGGAAATATGGTGCATGCCTTTAATTACAGCACACAGGATGCAGATCTACCTCTGGGACATGAGGCCAGCCTGGTCTACATAGGGAGTTTCAGGCTAGCCAGGGTTAAATAGTAAGACCCTCTCTCAAAACACAAAAAAGTCCTATTGGTAGCCAAGTGGTGGTGGCGCACGCCTTTAATCCCAGCACTTGGGAGGCAGAGGCAAGAGGATCTTTGTGAGTTCAAAGCCAGCCAGATCTACAGAGCAAGTTCCAGAACAGGCTCCAAAGCTACAGAGAAGCTATGTCTCAACCAAAACCAAGTGCCCTGTTGGGCAGAACTCGTGTCCTAGCGAATCCTTTGCAGTAGGCACCCAGAAGAGCCTCCCTTTTCTGGGACCTGGTTTCTCCATCTGTATCACAGGACTAACACGCAAGAGAGTTAGCTTTGCTTTTCAGACCGTTTGATAGAAGCTGGGGCGGGGGTGGACTAAGAGTTGTCCTACCTACCTGTTCGTGGAGATCAACCATGAACGGGCTCTGTTGGGCGGCTGGGTGCAGCATTCGTGGGCTCCTGCCGGCAGGAGCTGAGGCTCGGTGCTCCTCTACAGAGAGGTATGAGGGTCCGGTGAGCAGCTGCTGGGAGGGCAGTGCTCATCCTGGGCAGTGGGCTGGCCAGCAGCCCCTGGTGGCCAAGGCTGTACCACACAGAGGAGCCCCAATACTCATTTATAATGCAGGGAGGGAATCCAGGGCCATGACCCACACTAGGAAGCCAAGATAGCTCAGGGCCCTGGGGCCCACCCCTTTGCCCCCAACCCAAGCCAAGATGGCTACCCTTGAACTAGGGATGGAGACTTCTTCCTACCTTCCCCAGAGCTGGCCTGGACTGCTGCTAGGTCTTATAGAGAATCGCCAGTGATTCACAGGGGCAGAGGGTGGCCACTTAATCACTGCCAGAGCCCATGGTCTCATCAGCAGGGCAGGGCAGGGAGGTAGAGGGGCTAGGCCGGGACTCACAACCCTAGGAGGCAAGCAGAGGAAGACATAGAGGATTAGGAAGAGCCAGCTGCTTGTACAGTTAGGGATGGTGAGACTGATAAACCCTGGACAGGTTCTCCTCCGGAGCCTGGGGTCCAGTGTTGACAGGCTAGACTTAGCTGAAGCTCTGCAAAGTGGGATCAGTCTTAGAACACGGTAAATTCAGAAACGCACCAGTGTGATCCGGGGCCAGCTGGCTGCAATGATACCCAGGCTGGAGGAAGCGCCTGCCTCAAGCCTGGGGTTCCATTTTGGCCTCCAGGCAGATAGATGAGGCTCTTGGGAGCTCCAGGCTCTTTTTCTGTGGCTGGCTGAAGAGGAACTCCACAGAGGCCTCAAACCCACTCTCAAGCGCTGGATAAGATGCTCTAACCCATTCCCACCCCGTGGAAACTTTGGTCTAAGGTCAGACACCACCCTCCCTCCTCTCCCTAGTCCTTCGCCCTGGTGCACACTCAGCTATCATGCCACCCATTAATTAAGGAAAGCTCTTAGCAGGCTCAGCAGAAGAGGCTCCCACATACGTGTTGAAGCTAGGAAACGGGGCAACTTTGAGCCTGTCCCTATCCCCTGCTGCCAAAGCAAAGGCCACCTCAAGGCTTCACTGGGCCTGGCAGCAGCCATGTTCTTACTTTGGGCCCCACTGTAGGAAGCAGAGCCTTTTGAAAGGGAAGACTCTGAGGGAAGAAAAGAGCAGGAATGGGCCAGAGCAGGGTCTCCAACCCCAGGCTTTCAGCTACAAACTTGGAGTCAGGAGGAAGCCTTGTCAAGAGACACTCTGAACCCCATCAGGCCCGAGACACTACTGCACTAGGGCAGCCCTCTGCCATCACTGCCACAAGGTGGCCTTTCCACTCTTCCTCAACAACAGACCTACGCATGCCTAAAGTCCAGCTCCAAACGTTGCCACCTGCTGACAGAGCAAGGCAGGAAGGCCAGTTACGCTCCTCAGGCACTCCAGCTAACATCAGAAGGACCATTTCCTTTACCCAGGACTCTCAAAGTCTGCACAGGAAAGAGCCTTCTCCACAGCACCCAAGGGGGTACACCTGGCCAAGGCCACAGGCCTGGAATGTCACCAGTTGGGATTCACTTCTGTAATGAAGAGTTCAGGCACTCAGTAGGGATGGGATGCACTGAAGAGAGCCCATCACAGAGGCGTGTAAAAGCAGTCTGGCAATGACAGGGTGTTGCCAGCGAGTCAAGGTTGGGAGATTATAAATTACTCCCCACAAACCCTAGACTCTAACTGAGGCTCTTAGCCTCAGTAAGGGAGTGGGCACTTGTCCACCTCAGTCAGAAAACTGGTCTTCTTTGTGCACCTGGCTATGGTTGACAAATGGCTTTGTGACCTCTGGCTGGGGCCAACTACAGATGCCTAGACAAACAGCTCCTCACTTCCTGACTCCATGCCAGTCCCACACAAGGGCTGGGAGTAATCCACCCCTCAAATACCTGCAACGAGCCTGGCCCACCCCAAGCCAAGAGACAGAAGGGCACTCAGTGGGGGATGGTGCAGACGGCAACGGCATCACCCCAACCAACACCACCTCCAACTTCTTGCCAGGGTGGGTCTTAGGCCCATGTCTTCTGGTCCTCAAAACCACACATTCCTTTGCTGTAAAAAACGGGAACACCCTAGGTATGATCTCCCAGGGAACCAGCACGGGCCCGAGGGCCACTCCAAAGTTATCAGCAGTGAGAACAATCATGCACTCCAACCCTGGCAGACACAAGACACCGCAGGCACTAAAGGGCCAGACGCATGCTGCTGGCCGTGTACCCCGGCAGGGAAAGGTGATTCTGTAACTCCTACCAGGGACAAAAATGGTCAAGAGGGGACACACCCATTTCAGTTACTGAAGCCCCAAGAGGAGCTGCTCTAGACCACGGGTAACAGAATTGGTCCCGGCTGGTGCCCTAGACCCACACTCCCCAAGTCCTAGTCCTCTCATGATGACAGTGGTCAGGAAAAACCAGACTCCTAGAGCCACACAGGACATGCTGAGTGTCTTTTACTACCAAGGAGTAGCTGTCCTGAACCCGAGCTAGAGACTGAGCTGGACCTAGTCACACAATCAAGGTCAGCCAGCAACACTACTTTCCAATCCTCTTCACTGCACTCTCTAAGACGTTTGTGTAGACTCCCCCAAGTCCGATCCTGCCCCCCATGAGTCAACAACCCTGTCAGCCAGGTAGTGTCCCAAGCAAATCTGACCCTGGCATGATCTGTTTGTAAAAAGAGATGTTTGCTCCCTTCTAGCAGACCAGCAAAGTTAGACTCCAAGACGGAGAGCAAGCTTAGGCGGGAAGTCAACCACCCCCTCCCTACTTGCTCGCCCAACCTCCCACTCTAAACCCGAGCTTCTCAAATCGAAGTTAAGAAAGCAGAGGCAGTTGGGAGCGGGACCACCGCACCTTGGCCAGCTTAAACTCCCTGGATGAGTGACCTTGGTTAAAGAACTCCTTTAGTTTTCGCTAAACCTCAGTTGCAACAAATTAAAATCGGGATCGAAATCTCCCCAGGGCGCCCCTAAAAAGCCAGATACAGAAACCTCCCCCCATTAGTGGGGGGAGGAAAATAAAGTCCCCGAGGGTCAGGCCCCCTCTTAAAGCGGGCCAGACGCAGGCAGTTGGGTTCCAGCAATCTTCCAAAGCCACCCCTCCCTGGGTGGCTCGCACACCTGTCCCAGGAGGGACTCCGTTCACCCCTTTACTCCTTAGTGCCGCAAATGGAGGAACGAACACTGAGGGCCGAGGCCAGGCAGCAGCGCAAGGGCTAGAGCGCTGTGACTTTAAGAATCGAGGATCCCGGACCATGTGCTCGGCGTGAGACAAAAGCAACAACAAAGGAAGTGGCGGCTGCAGGGGGAGGGGGTGGCTGCTTCCCCTCCAGCGCAGCGCTCAGCTCCGCAGATGGGTTGCCTGGCCGAGTCTAGGTAGCCGCAGGCAGCCCCCGGCCCGGGGGCCTCACCGCCGTCGCCCCCACCCCGCCAACCCAGGATCGACGCCCACGAAGCCGGCAAACCACAGCGAGCCCCCGAGGGATCCGCAGTTCCGGGGTGCGGGTCCCAAGTTAGGGGCCTGGCCCGACTCACCGGCAGCCGTCCGACAACACGCGGGCTCCTTTGTTCGCGGTGCGGGGTGCGGACGCTGGAGCGCCGGCTCCTTCCCGAGCCTGCTCTGCAGTCTTCCGCCTCCCCGGCCCGGACCCGAGAGGAGGGCGGCGCAGGACGCAGCTGTGCGATCCGGCGGGCTGGCCCTTTAAGAACTGTCCGCGGCGGCCGGATGGAACCAGCCCCACGTTTGATTCACAACATTCGGAGCGGCGGGGACGCGCGGCGCGGGGGGCAGCTCGCGGGGGCGCGCCAGGACGCTCAAGCAAACAGCCGCCGTAGGGGCCGGCCCCGCCCCGCCGCAGGCCCCGCCCCTCGGCGCCACGCCGGCCAATCGCGTCCTGCGGGCGGCACGTGACTAGCGGGTCGCCATCTTGGAAGCCAGGTTAAAAAAGGCTCCTGGCCCCCACCTCTCACTCCCAAGGCCCCGTGGCCGGGTCGCAGGCCAAGGGCGGCGCGGCGCCGAGTGCGGGGCCCCGGCGCGCACTAAGGTGCCACGGTTACCTTCTTAGGGTTACCCGTGAGGGGCGCGCCGCGAGGTGAGAGGACCGCCCTCCGCCCCGGCAGGCACGCTTCCCGGAGGTGACGTCACCGCCCCCAAACCCCGCAGGCCGGCGATGACCTCATAGCCCTCATAGCCCACCGCGCCTCTCGTCTCTGTCGCTTTCCGTTCCGTTACACGGCGCCTTTAAAAAGCTGCAACAGCCCAGAGGGCCCAACAGACCAATGACTGACGACCCATGCAAACGACTTAACGTCTCCCGGGCCGGGGGATTGGTCCTGCGCGTGCTGACGTCACAGAAACTTCGCCGCCCCGCCCCCAGCGCGGCCCCCGGGGTGGGGGTGACGGGGAGAGCGGGCTGCACCCGGCCCAGGAAGTTTCTGCACTTCAGCTTCCTACGCCTGCCTTCCAGCGCCAGCGAGTCTAAAGTGTGGCAGGCACAGGGCCACACACCCAGGACTGGCGGGTCTCTGTCCTTGGAGGACAGCCGAGGCTAGCTACTAAGACCGCACACCCAATTAACAGCTGAAGCGCGCGCGCGAGAGAACAGAGATGCGAACCCAAGCTAAAGCTGAGCCTCCAGCTCCTTAGGATGTGGGCCGCGGTGTCCGCATCAATCGTATAAGCAGAGTATCAGGATTACCTAAAGCATTCACGTCTACTAGTCCGGTCTGGAGTAACTGGACTCCTCCAATGCCCACCAACCCAGAACAAGATGTCCGTACAAAACGGCAACATTTGTTAAAGCTCTGTAGCAGGATACAGGATCAAGTACACTCTGTACTTAGTGGATATATCCCATATGGGATTTATCCCATAATCTCAAAATATTGTAAAAATGAAACCAATTTGCTGAGCAAGGTGTAACAGTATTACCAATTTCAGTTGCATATCGTATCTGCATATGGTATTTCTGAAAGGGTAAGGGGATTATCAGGGTGTACCTGTTCAGGAGGGCACATTTTAGTTTTCTTTGTATTATTAGTTCGTTTTTAGACAGTCTTTTATATCTCAGCCTATCCTCAAACTCCTGACCTCTCGGTTCCCAAGTGCTGGGATTACAGGCATACACCACTAATCCTGGTTTAGATTTTCAAGTTTTCTAGACAGAGCCAGATCAGAGGTGGTGCACACCTTTAATCCCAGCACTTGGGAGGCAGAGGCAGTTAGAGGTCATCCTGGTCTGTGGATTGAGTTCCGGGATAGCCAGGGGTACAGAGAAATCCTGTCTCAAAATAGATTCTAGACAGTACAACCTACTGAAAAATTTTGCTGAAAACCATAAAGGAATATATCTTAGGTCCTATTGGGGGAGGGGTTCGAGATAGCTGTCCTGATCTCACTCTGTGTACCAGGCTGGCTTTGAACTCACAGAGATCTGCCTGCCTCCTGAGTACTGGGATTAAAGGCATGCACCATCACTACTTGGCCTTTTTTCAGGTAGTAGATTCTTAGGTCTATTTTTAAAAGACTGTATCATGTGTATGTATGAGTGTGTGCCTGAGTGTATGTACACCCTGTGCAAGCAATGCCTGTAAAGTCCAGAAAAGGTCGTTGGACCCTTGGAACTGAGTTACAGGTTGCTGTCAATCAACTGATGTGGGTGCTGGGAATTGAACCCTGGTCCTCTGGAACAGCAGCCAGTGCTCTTAACTGCTGGGTTACCTCTCTAGGGTCCTTTATAAGCCCAATTTTAAAAGCACTAAAATTTCCATTTTCTTAGGAAAAGTAGCCAATAGGAAGAATCCAGAAGGAAACTGGGGTGACAGTCTCTGGCTCAGAATGTCCTTTAGACCAACTAATTGCCCTGTATATACACAGCTAGCAACAAGATGACAAGGTGGTACCTTGAGGCAATCTGCAGATCTCTGAGCAACAGGAGTCAGTGATGCAGTGGCAGATGTAACTTGAAATCTACTCTCTCCAAACGTGTGGGAACTAGATGTGGACATGTACAATGATGTTCTTTGTTTGCTCCTCATCAATCCTCCCTTGTCTTCATCAACCACAAGCAACTAGAAAATCCTGCCCGTGTTCCATGATACCTACATTGGCACCCCGGCCTGCCTCCTCTAAGGAGCTGCCTGTAGTAGCTTCTTACACTGGCCCTATCAATCCTTTGGGCTAATCTCTTTTAACCCCTTCCTGAACCACAACAGTGTTCCTTCTGGCCAGCTGTGCCTGGCCCCCTTCTAGAAATCAATTCCTCCTCCCTGTTTTTAAAGGCCCCACTCCCACCTCCTCTTACAGAGGGCTGAGCTGACTTTGTGCCACTTAATCACACAAAACCCTGTCACAGCCACTGTCTCACTTAGTAATCTGCTTCTGGCTGAAGGGCTTCATTTCAAGTGCACTGACACCCAGCCTTCACTAGGGATGTGGCGGCACAGGGCTAACCCTGCCTCAGTGAATGCTGAGCTCTAAGGGCCACAGGTGAAGTGACTTGCCCAAGCAGAAAACAGGCCTTCAGAGACTTACAGAGATAGTTGTCACTAAAGTGCCTGCCAACCAAGTTTGAGGACCTGGGTTCAATTCCCACAACTCATATAAAAAGAACATGAAGACAGCCAGCCAAGAGTAGTTGGTTAACTCCAAACCCTGTCTTTCAATCTTTCAAAAGGGTGGACAGTGACTAAGGAATGACATCCTGGGCTGAACTCATGCCTTCACACATGAGCACACATGTACACTCATGAAATAGTGTGCACACACATGAACACACAAGCCTACCTTCTATTCACAATCCAGTTAAGGGCTTTTAAACCCAAGTCTGGCCCATGTATCATTTTCTCTGCCTGATGTGTCTTCAACATCACCTACTCATGTCAGGCAGATCCTCTGGCAAGCTCTAGACACAGCCAGACAGCTCCCCTGTGCCCTTTCTAGCCTGTTAGCTTTGTTCTGGCTTCCCAGACCCAACAGACCCATGCTCAAGCTGTGGGTGGGGCTATTTCCATGTGGCCATCCTGCAGTTCCTGTAGGGTCCAGACTCATCTGGGACCTGGCTACCACTGCGCCACAAATGCCCAAAATACTATGGGTTGTCCCTACTTGGCCAGGCAACCCCTTTCCCACCTTTCCAGATATAGAACCCACTCACTGATCTCAGTCTGGGTCTGGTCCTGGAAGCCCACAGTCAACCTCTCCCCAGGAACAGTTGCCCAAACCACCTCCAAACCTGAAGATCTTTCCTGGCCACAAGCAGAATTGTATAGGTGGAAGGGAGATGAATTTTTACCAAGTTTCCTAAATTTTCAACAGAAGCCAGCAATCCGGACTGTTCTTCAAAATCCTATGCTTTGGGATCCCAGTATGCTCTGTGCGCCTCTCCCTCATCACAGCTCATCCTCTGTGGGGTGTGGCCTCATACCTATTGTGTGCCTTTTATGACAGCCTACTCCCAGTAGTCAGGTACTGTTTACTCTCAGAGACAGGAAGTAACTGCCCTCACCACAGAGTCCAGAAGGGTGGCCCAGTGGGTTGCAGTAAGCTGCCTCAGCTCCAGCACGCACTAAGGGGCTCTGTCTGTACACAGTCCTCGGGTGGCTCACCCTGATCATCTCACAGTGAGCTAAGAGCAGATGACAGTGTTGATCCCATTTCACAGAAGAGGTAACTGAGGTGAAAGATGGTCCTTCCACATCCCTGAGACTTTGCACTGATCAAAAGCACAAATGTTCCTGGGGCAAAAGAAGATGACAGAGGCTCAGAGCCTAGCAGGTGGCTCGAGGTAGCAGATAAGACCGCACAGCAGGGTTCAAGGGCAAAGCCCACGAAGCTGGCCAGCTAAAGCAGGAAAAAGGTGCCAGGGCTCTCCTAACCTGGGCCTTGCCCAGTCAGTTCCCACCTACTGTTAGAGCCTCAAGACTGGCTGCCTCCCTTCTCTTGAGTGAGCAAGTACTCCATCTCTTTCTTCCTTGGCCCCTCAAACCTTCCCAAAACTAAAGAAACATGCTATTGGGACCCTGACACACACAGCACACCTCAGCCAGCTTGGGACTCAGACCTCTCAAAATACCACCAAGCGTCAGAGTAGAGCCCACAGCCTAGTAACCAGGGAGAGCTGACAGGCCCTATTCTACATCCTCTCTGCTTTGGATAAGGCTGAACCCCAAGCCTTGCCTCTCCAATAACTGATCATTTGTGCAGATGGGCAGGGAGAAGAGAGTGTGGGTCCTGGCAGGTGTGTTCTCGGTTTTGTGCTCATGAGAGCACCACTCTGGTCCAGCTCAGAGACACTGGGTGAGCTGTCTTCATCTTAGGCTGTCATCTGTAAAACGGGGTCAACGACAGCAGTAATAACTGAGCCGCTGTTCCCCTATGTAACCAAGTCTGGACTACACTAATGGCTGAATGCAGGCTGCTCTGGTTCTCAGGGGCTCTGTGACCTTGAGGGCTTCCCTGACCTCCCTGAGGCTGTTTGTCTAGAGGTTAACCCTGGGAGAGAGAAGCTGTCCTTACCTCCCTAGACGGGTCTCAATGGATATGCAACTGGAAGTGTGTGTGTGTGTGTGTGTGTGTGTGTGTGTGTGTGTGTCTGCAGTGGCACGTGTGAACTTTGGGTGTATCCCGGGGGGGTGGGCTTTTTCCTCACTCACCCCTCCCTACACTGCAGCCCCTCATCACTGGAATCGCTCGGTCTGCAGTGTGATAGGAGAGCATTACAAGACAGGAAAACTCGGGGCTACAGGAGCGCAGTGCCTGAAAGGACGAATACCCCACTTCCTTAATTTTAAGCCCCCCCTCCCGGCCCCATCCTTCCCTCTCTGGCCCCCAGCTTCACTCAAGCCCAGCTGGGGCGCAGACAGGAAACGCTTTGCGACTGGGCAAAATGCAAACCGACTCTCGACCCCTGGGGGTTTGGACATCACAAATGCAGTTGATGGCCCCGGGTTAGTGCTGTTTCCTGGCCCTCCAGCCACTCTGGCTGCCAAAGGGTGAAATGTTAGGGACCCACACGGGGACACAGGATCCTCGCTGGAGCCCCACCAGCCGAGCGCACAGCTCGCAGAAACTCGTCCAACCGGGCGCCCTAGCACTTGGACCGAGCGGACCGGCCGCAGCGACGATTGTGGCCGGCGCGGCCTCACCGAAGCGCCCGCACCTCCCGCCGCGTCCACAGCGGCCCGCGCCCGGGCGTTACCTGGGGCCACGGCTGGGCTCCACCCCCACTAGGCGGCGGCGCGTTGCTCCCGGAGAAGCCCGGTCCCGCTCAGGCTGCGGCTCGGAAGCCGCCGGCCGCGGCCCTCCCCCTGCGCCCGCAGTGGACCCTGCTGGTCGCCTCCCCCTCCCTAGAGCTCGCGATGGGCTCGTCGGGCCGCACCATGGCGGACAGGGGGGTGGGGGCGGAGCGCCTGGGAACGCTCCTTTCCAGGGCTCGCAGGTGCCGCGCACCGGGGCCGAATGTCATGCCCCGCCTCACTGCATGCGATGGGCCCGTCGGGCCATACCATCGCGGTTATGGGGAGGACCTGGGCGGGGCGTCCGGACACACCCCCTCGATGAACTCCCTGCTTGGTGTGCGCAATGGGCTGGTCGGGCCTCACCAACGCGGAGCGGGGGAGGACGGGACCGGGGAATCTGGACACGCCCCCTCAGCGCAGGGAAAAGCCCAAGCTGAACGCCGGCTCTCCCTGCGGCGCACAATGGGCTCATCGGGCCGTACCATCGCGGACGTGCGGGGGGAGACGGGAGAAGCGCCTCGCGCTCTGTGCCTTTGTGACCCGGCATGGGAGCGGCCTCTATTTCCTCTCGTATAAAACAAATTAAATACGACGCTATGGTCTTTCAAGGACACTCCAGAGGACACTGACGCCAGATACGACTGGACGGAGTAGATCCTGCTAGGGCCATTTTTCGAAGCTGGTCGGTGAGGACTACAACTTCCAGCGGGCCATTCGGCAGAGCATGCCGGAAGTTGTAGTTCCCGCAGACCCTGCCTTGGGGTTTGCCCGGACAGACTTGGTTGGCTTCTTTGTGCAGTCCGTTGTCCCCGGGGTTAACTGGGCCTTTAAAGCCTCCTTTGTTGGCTTTCTCCTGACAAGAGCTCTTTAAAGGGAATGTGTTCCCTGAAGGGGCCCGGGGTCTGAGGCCAGGAGCGGGTTGAAAAGTTGATTCTGGGGGTGACTTGTTCCTGGGCTGGCACACTCCACTATGCTGGCATCGAAGGAACTTTGTACCTGCAAAGTGCAACGGTCTAGGAGGATGGGGCATGGAGGCGTGAACACATTCTACCAAGGAGCCTCTATCACCGTGCCTCTATGGGTCACCCCTGAGGCAGTTCCTAGAGGAAGAATGGCTGTAGTTAGTGTCATTCGGCTGGTCAGGAACAAGCTGCCCCTACATTTCAACCTTGACCAGTTTCTGGGCACAGAGGATGCAACAGAATAGAACAGAGACCAGAGAAACTTTTCTGATTTTTGTTTTGAGACAGGGTCTCTATATAGCCTTCTCTGTCCTGGAACTCGCAGTGTAGACGAGGTTGGCCTCGAACTCACTGATACCTTTGCCTCCTTAGTGCTGGGATTAAAGGCGTGCTCGGTGATGTCCAATGATTTTGTATTTCAAAGGGAACGCTAACACAGTGGCTACGAATGACCTTGGTGTATACTTGTTACCCATATGAAGAACACCGTTCTGTGTTTTGCTGTGTTTGGTGCTCTCAAACATGAGATTCCTCCCTACAATATTTCCATGAGCTGGAGCCCATCTTTATGAGGGAGGATCTGAGACCCTAAAGTGGTAAGTTTCAGGAAGGGTTAGAACCTGGTCATCGTTGGATCTTGGCCCCATCTTTTACTTCCCAGCCCCTGAAACTGACATTGAACATGGATCTGTTCTTCAGGTCTGGATCATCCCAGCCCAGAGCCCAGTGAAATAAACCCTCAGGCTGCCTTGGTGGCAGATGGCGAAGGATGCCATTGGTTTATCAGGTTTATGCAGATGTTATGCAAAAGTCTAGCCTTTGTCCACCTTCTGGCAGCCAGAGTAGTGACTCAGAGCTGCTGACCCTGCCATAGAGCAAAGGAGTTCTGGGTCCACCCTGTTGGGTTGGGCACAGAGGCCAGTCTTGTGTACTTGGACCCAAGGTCTAAGGCACAGCTGGAGTGTCTGGTGAGGTCACTTGCCTTTCTTCCCACCACCCAAGACACCAGCCCAAGGTTAGTCCCTTTGATTCCTAGAGCAGAATTCACCAGCTGTGGTCAAAGAATCAGGCAGAAAGAGTTGCCCAGATAGTGTCACTAAGCACGTGTGATCTTTGACTGATAGTCTGGCCTTGGGTTTCATTTTTTTTTTTTCCATCTGTGATAAAAGAATGAGTTATCCTACAGCTGTAGAGAAGTGATACACTTGTAACAATAACAAAATAACCAGCTGCTCACCACAACAAAAGCCAGCGTTCACGGAGACCTTGACACCATGTCCTGTGCTCCAGACTTTGAATGTGTGACTTTCCTGTCATCCCTGCCACCTGCCTAGGCAGGGGTCATACATCACCACAGTTCAGGCCAGGTTATTTAGCTTCCCCACCCAATGGACCCTAATGGGGCCTGATGTCCTGATGTCTAGACTGTCACATGGAGTGACCCTGCCAAGGGTGTGCAGCCCTTCACAGCGTCCTCAAGAAGACCTCAGACAGAAAACTCCTCCTGGGTGCTGAACCTTGCAGTCGCAGCGTAGCTCCAGAGCTGGTCCAGGTTTTCATTGTGTAGATCAGACTGCAGTCAGGGACAAACTTGAACTCTAGATCCTCTGTCTCTGTCTCCTGAATTCTAGGATTGCATCACTACTGGCTTAGACTCTTTTTTTTTTTTTTTTTTTTTTTTTTTTTTTTGGTCGTTTGGGATGGTCTCCCTATGTAGCCTTGGTTGGCTTGGAACTCTGTGTGCAGATCAGGCTGACCTGCTTCTGCTCACCTCCCCTAATGCCAGGATGAAAAGTGTGCACCATCACACCTGGCCTTAGATCTGTTTTTAAATAAATGAGTCCTGTTTTTCTTTTTGTTTGCCCACCAAGACTCTCAGAAACCTCTTTCATGGACGACTTCACTTACACAGAACCTCAAGATATATCTTGTAGACAAGACTCAATTGCAGATTCCCCTTCCCTGATCCAGATATATAGCACACATATCTTTTTGTTTGTTTCTCAAGACAAGGTTTTCTCTGTGTCATCTTGGCTGTCCTGGAACTCACTATGTAGACCAGGCTAGTCTTGAACACAGATCTGCCTGCTTCTTCCTCCCAAGTTCTGAGATTAAAGGTTGTGTGCCAGCACAACCAATTACATATATCTTTATAATTTGTTTTACATTTGGGAGGCTTTGGGGACTCAAACTATCCTGTCAAAACTGTCCACCTACACTGAGCACGTGACGCACACACCCATTGAATGTGAACCAGACATGGCCCTGCCTATGAGCAGCAGGCAACGGAACGGTAGTAACAAGGGATGGCTCTGGCTCAGTCTGGGGAGCCCAAGTGAGTGTCAGCAATGGGGAGTCAGCCGGGCAGCGCTCCAGCAGTACTGTCTGAGCATCTGTGGGGGGCATGCCTGTGCCACAGCTCGTATGCGTATGCGACAGGACTGGGCTCTCCCGTGTGATTGTAGGGATGGGATTCAGGTTGTCAGGCTTAGAGGCCCATTACCTGCTGAGCAACCTCCCTGGTTCTCTTTGTGCAGTGCTATCTCCTACGGCACCCAGGAACGCCTTAAAGTACCTGGCAGTGGTGGCGCATGCCTTTAATCCCAGCACCGGGAAGGCAGAGGCAGGCAGATCTCTGTGAGTTCGAGGCCAGCCTGGTCTACAGAGCAAGTTCCAGGGCAGCTAGGGCCACACAGAGAAAGCCTGTGTCAAGAAACAAAACAAACAAGGAAAGTATCCTATGATGATGGACGATGAAGGCAGTGTGGTTGGTTTTGTTCCCAGCTTCATGTAGGCTGGGCTAAGGGCCTCAGGAGGAGTAGCTAGCTCTCCCCGAGGGCTAGCAGTTGGGAGATGGCCATGCCACAGTCAAGCTCTGGCCTCTTACCCCTCCCCTTGCATCTGGTGGAGTGTTGGAAGGACAGGGGACTTCTAACATCTAAGGGGAATGTAGTCAGAGCAGAAACGAAATTTAAAAGGTCAAAGGCAATGTATTGGCTTAGATGAAGAGCCCTTTAGTGGGTGGCGCCTGACATGACTGTACCCAGGAGCTAACACAAAGTCACAAAAATATATTGTTCCTATTTCTTTTTCATTTGTTTGTTCCCAGGAAAGGCTCTGCCCCCGAGCAGTGGGATTCAAGGCTGTGCCGCCACCACTGTGTTTTGTTTCCTAGCTCTGCTGGCCTTAGTCTTGGCTTATCTTGGTTACTTGCTCTGGTGGCAAATACCTGTGTGGCGTCATAGCCACTTTTTACAGCTTAGGCGCCAAACATGGAGGGAGAAGTCTGTCCTTTCAACCATTCCAAATAAAGCCTTTTATTTGAGACCAATCATTAGGTTTGTCTTTCTTTCTTTCTTTTAAAAAGACACTATGTAGCTCAGGCTGACCTTGAATTCATCATCCCATCCCTCATCTGTGCTGGGATTATAAGAGCAGTGCCGGGCTTCTCATTGATTCTTACAAACAAACCTGTCCATTTGCTGTGGCCCTAAGTGTGGCTGCCTAGGCCTCAGCCATGTGCCCACCAGCATGGAGTGGAGGAGCTGAGTGTGTGGGTTTCCCTAAAGGAAACTAGAAGATCACCACCTGGGCAAAGGCTCTTGTGCTGCTTGGACATTGGTGCCCATGACTGCAGGGTGGGGGGGTAGTGGTGAGGAATGCTTTGTGGGCAGGAAGAAGCGTAGAGGACACCCAAGGGGGGTAATGAGGCGGCACGCGGCAGCACTTTCTGTCCTGTGAGTCAGGTGGGCTCCCCTCGGCTGCAGCAGCCAAGGGAGGCAGCAGGCAGGGCTGCAGGCTCCCTTCTGGGGATGGACACCACAAACACGGTTCTTAATTTCTGTGGCACCCAGCTTCTGTGAGACACAATGTAAAGTACACAGCAGGTGCTCAATAAGTGCAGATTCTAGCTAGCTCCTTGAAGAGACAAGAGGACAAACGAGACAGCCTTCACCAGGACTCTGAAGAACCATGAGCCTGTTGTGGATCCGGTGCTCTCTGAGGATTTGCACTCAAAGACGGGAACCTCAAAGGGTATCTGAGGAAGCGGCAGCTCCCCCTGGCCACCGGCTAGGAGGAGGCACAGAGGAGTCTGGTCTCAGCCCTTCCCAGGTGAGGTAGGATGAGATGAACTGGGAGACCTGTCCCCTGGGAGGCCACCACGGTGAGTGAGAGGAA